CGTGGGATGCTGGCGGCTGGTGTGAGGGCAGCCTTGGTGAGGGCGTTCGGTGTGGGGTTCGGTGATGCTCAGGCGAGCTTGTAGCCTTGAGAGTGTGGATTTGGTGCTGCCTGATGCCTTAGTCTTTAATTTGCTGTGAGTGCTTCATGCTGGTCAGATGTGAAGGAGTCTGTGGGAGTGCCCGAGGGGGCAAGTTGAGAGCCTTGTTGTGGAGCACAGGCTGCTGTGCTGGGTTTGTTTGGTGTGCAGGCGGCCCAGGGGTGAAAATGTTTGTGAGCTGTGTTTGTTCATCATCAGCCGCAGTACAAGGGGCTCACAAAGTGGCAGGGAGGGACCTGCCAGGGTGCAGAGGTGACCGCGCTGTCATTCAGAAGTGGTAGTTACCTTTGCTATGTTACCATTTGCTGTGAGAGCAGAGGTGCTCACAAGCCAAGTAAGAAGTTGTTGAGATTCAGGCCTTGTGAGAGGAAATTGGGACAAGGAGAGCTTGGCCCTGGAGTGGCAGCTTCCAGTTGCTGTGGGGCCAGTGTGGGTGACAAGAGCTTGCGGTGGCAACAATGCTTATGAACTAAGTAAGAGGCCGGTCTTCTTGTGAGAGCCTCACCCCGGGCTGTTTGAGAGGGTTTTTTTGCTTTAATTTATTATGAGGGCTATATATGAGACAGTAGTGTGTGGTGGTGCTCATGAGCTATATCTGAGGCATCAGGTGTGTGCTCAGGTGAACTTATTCTCTCAGGAGAAGTTATCTGGTGGTCTGTGTTGTGCAACAGCTTTGCTGTGAAGTGGCTGACATCTTTGCTGGGCTTCAGTTTACTCACAAGCTATTCGTGGAGTGGTTGGAGGCAGCAGGAGTTCAGATGGTCTTGCAGCTTCACAGGAAGGGACCTGTGTTTGGAGGTGCAGGAGAATTGGAAGCTTCCCCTCAGAGCAGTGGGCAAATGCTGTACTTCTCTGTTTGTTAGGGCAGTGTATGTCCTCTTAGATTTGTTTGTATATTACTAGTAAGGTGTATGTATTATCTCCACTACAGAAAATATTTCCCTGGATGTCATTACTATTAAATATGTATGTTATAATTCAAGATTGCCCCAGAACCCATGAAGAATTAAAAACTTAAAGAACAGCATTAAAAATAAACTATTCCCAAGTGGGAAGAGAAGTAATTTGCCCTTAGAGTATATAAAGATTTTATGTTTTGTACAGTGCTGCAAACCTTCATCAATAAAATATTAAACTGCCAAACATCAGAGACCTTTAACTAGTTAAGAGTTTAGGCTGCTGTAAAAAAAAAAAATCTATAGCTATCTCCTACCACAAATCTTTGTTTTGACTGAAATGTTCCTATGTTACTGCAGTAAATTATAATTTTGAAGAAATTAGCATTGCTATGTCAGATCCATTCCTACTTGGTAAATGTGGTTGCTAACTTTGTCTTAATTGGGTAACAGTTTGGGCAAGGTTTTCAAGGTTTCACTGAAAAAATTTTCACTGTGTGTAAATGATTACTCGAATTCATAGTTTAAGAACTTCAGTTTTTGTTGGAATGGAAGTAACGGTTTTATGTACAGTGTAGGTGAAATGGGAGTTCAATGCCTTGTTACCATTAGCTATCTGAATGTTTTTTCTTTAGTCCCTAAAATTCAGAGTTTATCCATTCAAAGCATTTAATCCCTTGTTCTAATAAAATCAGCCGATCTTTATCTGAAGGGTTATCTACAAACAGAATTCAGATGACCAACTTCATTTTTTTTACAGTTGGGTGGGACACTGCAGGTGTCAAGTACATGCAAAAATTTAAAAAACACCACAGATTAATAGCAAAGTTAGTATTTTTTTTAATTGTTCAACTAGTGACGTTTCTCTCATACCTTGTGCCAATGTAAGTCATATAAACTTCAGTCTTAATGATGTTCAGTTGATGCTTGTGTTATCTTTTGGAGACACAAATGTCATTCCTTGTTTAGTATTCCTGGGGAACCTAACACTAACATTTTTCATATCTGCATTCATGCAGCTTTGCCTGAAAGAGGGTGCTCATGGATAATTTTGAGGTGAGATTTCTGTGTATTCACAATGTCTATTGACAGGACCACCCTCAATGATACATTGATTAGAATTTTCTTGGCATACCAGGGCTATGTTTGTCTTTCACAGTCACTGTAGACAGCGTCTAAGACAGATACTGTTTTTAGTGCCCCAAATCGACCTGTGCTTTACTCAATTGTGTTGTTACGTCGTAGGGTAAAAATGAGCAACCACAGAGCAAGGCTCTATAAGGCACTGTGGTGCTGTTCTCTCCACTCCAGTAGTGGATGTGCCTCTTTTCCTGCCTAGATTCAGAGATTTGTCTTGTCCTCTTTCACGCTTGTTTGCTCTCGCAAGTAAAAGCTTGTCATCAGGATGCCACGACGTGCAGTGAGATCAGTGAATGTGCTAAAGAGTGGCAGTGGTTGGAAGTGCTTGTGTAGGGCATCATGTGTGGGGTCACAGGGTGAGAACAGTACAAAAAGTGGGCCTGTACAAAAGGTGACATGATTTCTGAAAAGGTTTTGTTGGAGATGTTTGTAGCTAGACTTGATAACTGCAAGATAATAATTAACTGACTCTTTAAAAATTCACATTGCAAATACTAAAAAAAAAATAAAGTTAGATATTTTTTTACAGATCACTAAGAGAGTGTGTAAATGAAAACAGAGTTATGCTTATGTTGTTACCATATTCCTCAAAAAAAAAACCCCAACCTGACATGCATTGTGGTGGTAGCAGTCATAGTGTGGAAAAATAAAGAATTATATCAGTGACTCCACCTAAAATACCATCTCTTCTTTTGCAGGCAAGACATTTGCACAGTGCCAAAAAAGGACTGCAAAAAATTGTGTTATAAAGGAAAAAAAATTTAAAAACCTTTTAAATTTAAATTGTTTACAAAATAAAATTTTTATCTAAAAAGAAAGATTATAGTAATTGTTATGTATACTGAGAAATAAGTCCAAACTATGAAAAATCTTAGATGCTACTTAAAAGTAAATTCCTCAATTTTGTTATTAATAAAGTAGTCATGAAAAGACAGAGAAAGGAGTGATATTATAAAAATTGAAATATATGAAACAAGATACAGTCTTCATTTTGACCAGGACAGGGGATTAGTATCATACTTGAACTGGATAGTGTACATACCAACAGGGAGCAGGTGCACCTTCTCGCTTGACTGAGCTGCTCTTGTCACCACTTGATAATCCCACAAGTTTCAAGGGGGTTGAAAGTGTGTGAGCTAATGGCAGTGGTGTATTTTAAAATTTTCTGATCAACTCTACTTTTTCTATTTCTTTTTCTCATGTTAGAAGAAGAGGCAGCAAAACTGAGTTTAGCAGTATTTGTCAGTATTTAGCAGAAGATGTTATGGTCTTTGTATTATGTGGCTTAGAATCCAGTAAAACCTGCAAGCCCTATGGCACAGAAAGCACTGGACCTGGTACTGTGCAAGTGTATGCAATTAGCCATTGACAATAATAACTAGTTTGTTTTATTGTTTTTGCTTTTGAAGTCCTTAAACCTGTGTGAAGGAAATTGACTGTAACTTCTCGAAATTTCTTCTGTTTAAGGCTGTAGGCTGTTAACCCTTACTGCAGACCCAACTAGGTGTCTGAGTTTGGTTTGTCATACTGTATTATGTCAATGCAGGCATCTTTCCTTCCATCGCTGTACTTTCATGCTTACTTAGCCTTATTTAACCAGTAGCACAGCTTTGGTTTTCTTAAATACTATTAAGATGTAATTTTCATTCTGTGAATGAGACTTGCCACTGTAAAGC